CTGGTGTGTCCCTTTACTGGTGTGTCCCTTTACTGGTGTGTCCCTTCACTGGTGTGTCCTTCACTGGTGTGTTCCTTCACTGGTGTGTCCCTTTACTGGTGTGTCCCTTTACTGGTGTGTCCCTTCACTGGTGTGTCCCTTCACTGGTGTAAGACTGTCCCTTCACTGGAGAAAAACACGGTCGAAAGATAGAAGTTTCAGAGTAATCAAAATTCATAAATGTAACAATAAAGTTTATACAACGTGTGATCAATAATTTCCAGGAATGAGACTGGATCACGTAAAATATTCAAAATAATGAAATAATTTTATAAGGACCTTATAGATAAAACATTTATCAACACGTAGAAAAAAAATTGATCACACAGACGCACGCGCTTACGTTTTTTAGAATTTATAAGCTCGAGTATATTAGAACATTTTCTAACTTCAGTATAGACTGTATTGAAAAACAGCGAGTCTGCATAGAGTGTTTTGCTTTAAATTAGGGAAAACAGCTTCCGAATCATTTCAAATGTTGAAGCAGGTTTTTAAAGAAGATGCCCTATCACAATCGAGGACATTTGAATGGTTTGCACGATTTAAAGCTGGTCGAACAAGCGTCAAGGATGATCTACACATTGGTATACCTTTATCGATTAAAAAAAAAAGAAATAAAAACCGAAAATGCTCTAAAAATCAAGTAATCGATCAAAGAAAACCCAAAAATAACTATAAGAGAGCTATCAGAAACTTGGATATCTCTTTTGGAACCAATCATAAAGAATGATCTGCGTCTTAAACGATCCCCGGCTAAATTTGTCCCACATCTCTTAACGAATTAGCAGAAAGAGCATCGCAAAGAAACGTGGAAAATAATTGTCGAAATGTTTAATTCTGATCCCCATTGAAATGTTATCACGGGAGATGAAATATAGGTGTATGGATATGATCCTGAGACTAAGAGGCAACAAGCCAGTGGCTAGAGCCTGGAGAACCAAGATTCAAGAAAGCAAGGGTGATCAAATCAAAGCTTAAGTGTCTTCTTTTCACTTTCTTTGGTGTAAAGGGATTGGTACGCTATGAATTCGTGCCCGAGGGTCAGACCATGAATCAACATTACTATATTGATGTATTGCGACGTTTAAGGGAGGCTATGACACGAAATGGCATCAGAAAAATTGGCTTTTGCATCATGATAACGCACGGCCTCATACAGCCGTCACTGTACAACTCTATTTGGCTAAACACGGAATTGCTTTACTACCCCAGCCACCCTATTCTCCTGACCTCGCTCCCAAAGACTTTTTCCTTTACCCTAAAATTAAAAAAAAGTCTTTAAAGGACGTCGATTTGACTCAATACCTGAAATAAAGGAGAACATGAAGGATATTTTGAAAAACCTGAAAGACGAGGATTTTCAGAGGTGTTTTGATATCAGAAAAAAAAGATGGAACAAGTGTATAGATAGTAACGGTGATTATTTTGAGAAATTTTAAATAAAACTTTATTATACTTTTGTATTTCTTTAAATATTTAACATTCCTGGAAATTATTGATCACACTATGTAGATGAAGATGCAGTTTAAAATATATAGGCTATTCAAATTAATTTCGAGCTAATGGCCTTCGTCAGTCTAAGGTAGACTTTGAATTCATGAAATCTACAAGGGAATTGTGAGATTTTAAAAATTCACGTAAAAATAATGCTTCCTGAAAATTTCCCATCACACACACACACAAATTCTTCGACATTATCATCAAACATGTTCCGAACATGAACTCCCCAAATGGCAGGGATCTGTCTAGATTCAAGGCGGCTTTAAGCTCCTGATCCGGACGTGCCCTACGTCGA